TTTTCTTTAAAGTTCTAACATGAAAGTGGAGACGACGTGATTAAAAGGAAAAGATTCAAGAAAAGCTCAACTTTTGTAATGAGTTCTGGGTATTTTTAAGTAGCTAGACTCTCTGTTATCAAATAATACAATGAGTCTTTAGAAAAACGTAAGTCGTCTTAAAGATTTTCATTTAAATGAAATAATCAAAGAATTATAAGCAAAAAATTTAAAAATTGAATCTTTTCCTCACCTTCCAGTCTGCAAGGACTTTCACATACTCTACTATCTATGGGCTCTTTCCAGCTCCCTCCCTTTATTACTCACTTCAAACCATCTGCTGAGTGGGGAGGAATTTCCAGTTTTCTGTTTCTCAGCTTCTTAGTCTATTCTCTCAACTTGCTTGTCCCTCACTTGCTCATGCTTTTTTTCGTGTACATCCACGGTAAGATTAAACATGACTAGAAATAAAACACCGACACACTGACTAATCTCACTGCATTAGTCACCTTTCTACTACCAGGACAAAAGACTTGATATATTCACAACTTAGAAAAGTTTTATTTTGGTTCATGGTTTCAGAAGGTTCAGTCCACGGCTAGTTGGCTGTGAAGCAGAAATGGGATGGTAGAAGTGGAGGAAGAAAGTGCTCACTCGAGGCATCCAGATCAGAGAAGGGATTATAATAAAGACAGCTGGTGAGAAAAGGCTAGGGAGAAGATCACGCTGTCCACGCACACCCAGACAAACCCAGAAGTGTTTCTCAAACCAATCAACCAAGTTGATCAAGATTAACTATCACATCCACTTATGATCATGAATGCAACAATATGACAGCCATAACGCACGTTTCATCATTTGTTTTAGAGAACTATTTCTTCCCAAATGTGGAGCATCACTTCCTCCATCCCTAAACATAGATGACTGCTTCTTACTCCATGGAGAATCACAACCATCAGCGGAGAACTCCCACAATCCCCACGACGATACCCACCCAGCATCTGCAAGCAGGAAAACAGATAAACACTTACTGATGTGCCTATCTAGATAACTGTTCCTCTTACTTGTCCAGTCAATGCCACCCCTCTTGCTTGCAGCTGTTCTTTGTACCTATATCACAAAAATTTCCCTGTACTGGGACACATATAAGAAACATGTTGATATTCCTCTTATCTAAAAAGGAAAAGAACAGCTTTTCACTGCACTGCTCTTTTCAGCTACTGACTCCCAAACCCACTTCCTCAATCATCTTTATGGTGAATGTTTGTGAAAGAAAAACCTGTAGTCTCTGCATCCAAATCTTTTCCTTCTCCCCCTACCCAACTCGTCTAAAATGCTTGTATCACATTCACCAACAGCAGTCACACTGCAATGTCCAAAGATCAGCTCTCATCTTATTCAACCCAGCAGCAGCACTGAAATCATCATCACGCACTCCTTTGCCTCCTCCACTTCTCACTTGCGTGACAGTACCACACTCGGTTGTCTTTCCTCCATCCTGGCTGGTCCCTCTCATCTCCATGGACCTTCTCTCTGAGGAGTCTTTGTGGTGAGGTGCACCAGAGATCGTATACTACCTGCCTCCTTCTGATCTCATGTGGCTTTAAAAAGACAGATTACGTTGTATTTCTAGTTCTAAGTCTCCCCAGTTCCAGATAAGTGATATTTCATCCGAAGGTAAAACAGATTTCTCTACTTCAGCAGGTTCACAACCGAATTTCCTAATTTTTCCACCCAAAAGTTGTTTCTCTTGCAATGTGCTATTGCAGTCGATAAAAATTACACCCTTGTAGCTGCTCAGGCTAAAGACTTTTGGAATCGTCTTGGAGCCTCTCTCTCAAAGCCAGGCATCTGTCACCAAATCTTATCAAGTCTGTCAACTACTTTGCACCCTATTCATTGCCACCACCTGTGACACATTATTTCTCACCTGAGTTGGCAGAGTAGCCTCTTCTCCTTATCCCCTATTGTCCCTTATTGTCTATTGTCAATGTAGCAGCCAGAGTGCAGCTTTATACTGAAGTCAGATCAATGCTTGAATCAAAAAACTCTGCAATAGATCCCCGTTTCTCTCAGAGAAAGTTACTGGCCCTATATGATCTCTCTTCTATTCTCCTACCCTCGCTCATTTTTCTGGCCATCGTTACTTCCTTGTTCCTTAAAATAAGCAGCCACCATCTTATCTTAAGGCTTTCACACCAAGCTCTTCTTACTGCGATGCTGTGCTGCTAAAAATAGCTTCTCAAAGTACAGCGACTAAGCCAGACGCATCAGCATCACCTGAGAGCTTAGTAGAACTTCAAATGCTCAAGTGCCACCCAGACCTGCCTTGTCAGGGCTGCAAAGACAGCATGTAGAAATCTGTGAGATTTGTTTGGTATTTTGCTGAACCCAGACCCAGGGCCGAGCACAGGCTAGGCAAGTACTCTACCACTATGCCACATCCAGGCCCAAGTAAAGCACATTTTAAGAAGCCTTACAGGTGTTGCTATTGTACACTAGAGCTGAGAAGCTCTGCTCTAGATATTTACACAACTTCCTCACCTCTTTGAAGCCTTTCTCCAGATGTCACTTTCTGTGTGAGGCTCGTAACCACCACCTGGTTCACACTGCATCCATCATTCTCCCCAGCACTTGCCCCATTCCTGTACTCTGCTTTCCTTTTTCCAGGTTCCATGACTCATGGAGTATTCAAAAGTACTATAAAGCTTGTTGTCTATTATGTTGTCATTTCACTGGAATATAAATTCTATGAAAGTCGTCATACTTTTATGTTTCACTGATAATACAGAAATGTCTCAAGTAGGTTCTGATGCAATATAGATACTTAGTGACTACAGAATTCTGGGAATGGTAAGTTGAGCTTAACTGGTATGGCCAATGGGGACAATCATACAAGTCAAGCAAACCCAAGCAGCAGGCAGAGGGGCCTCTGATAGTTGGGGCTTAGGAGCCCAAGTACATGATTAACACGTCACTTCCTCTCATTGAAAGTGAAATCCATATGTATACTAACAACACAGCTGGAAACACTTCATGGGATGCAGGAACTTTTTTTCCCCCCTCATTGAGTTTATGGTACATTTTAGGTACACAGTACAGTTACATTCATCATTGGGATCTTGTACCTTCACATGACAGGTCTTGGTTCTCATTTTTCACCCTTGTCCCTGCCCTCCCTTCACCTCTCCTCCCCTCCCCCTTTACAAAGACTTCATTTCCATTTTTTCATTTTCTCATATTTTTTTCTTTTCCCTTGTTAGCTTTCCCCTACCCTTCCCACTTTTACTATACTCTTAAGTGAAATAAGTCACACGTGTGTGAATACCGAATAGTTTCTCTGGTGTGAATTATAATAGTACATAAGATCCTAATCATATAATGGACAATGTGAAACAGGAAGAAAGGAACTTCTTTCCACCGTGGATGCAGAGGAGTGCTAAACTGCCAATGCCTTAGGCTACTGCACTGGTGGAAGAGGAAGTGCGGCCATGATGGTCCCACTGCTGCCTGGGAAACAGCTAGAGATCCTGGACAGAACTCAAGGCTGGAGCACTTTGCTCTGTGCTTTCTACATCCTCCTAGGGTTTGCTGCAGATGAGATGTGTGAAGTGACCTTTGCCTTTCTACATGAGTTTGAAAAGTGTCCCAAAGTAAAGCAAGGTAATTTAGGAAGGGAAAAAGATACTGGAGAAAACTAATACCAGTGTTAAGTGCTAGCGTGCAACATTCACCACACATGGCCCAAAGTCAACAACTGCATCCTGCTACTTTCAAAATAGGGCAGCACTACAAGTATATGTACAACAGAACACAGAAACCTCTGAACTGACATTTCTGCTACAGATTAATACATCTGTATTCTTCAGAATACTAAAGATATACAATGTGAATAATCCCTTATTACTAGGAACAATGCCAAGAAACCTAAGACTAAATAAACCAGATCAATTTGCTGCTGCTTTTGCACTTCAACACAATGTTTCTTTGTGAACATCTAATACTGTTTTTTTTTTGTTTTTTTGTTTTGTTGTTTGCCTTTAAAATGGTCTAGTAGTTGTCTCTAAAATAGACTAAGTAGAACCACATTAATGAAGGACTGGAAGAAAAGAACCTCTTGAATCTCTAGCATGTAAATGATGGTTACATTAACATCATTCTATACTTCTGGCTCTTTACAACCTAATAACTTTACAATAGCAGAATAGACAAATAGCACAGAGATTGTTGCTGTAGCAGTGCATAGTGTCAGAATCTTGATGCTTATTTGTGTTTGCTTAGAGTAAGTATCTAAGGGAAAATTAAGTTCTAAGCTGAGGCTACAATCTGAAATCCCAGGAAGAGCATCTAAGAATAGCTTGATTTTTTTGTAACAATAGATTTGCTGGTGAAGTACACTATTCCCTAATGAACAGGATGTGGCACTGCTTCAGATGCTAAAATTTGATCAATGTTAGGAGCATGATGATCAGTTTAGTTATGAGTCTTTTAATAAAAGAAACATGAAATCGGCCATGCTTTGGCAGGACATACCCCAAACCATCATGAAAGCTGTTATCCTGGCGCACAGATGAGCCCTACCATGCTACAACTGTTCATGTTCCCACTGACATCACTGACAAGGAGACCAAGACAGAATCCAAATGCAGTTACATTGGATTCTGCTTCATTGGAGTTGTTTGAAAAACCAACTAACTCGCCTGTCCTCCAAGAACCTCCCCGAGGACCCTGGACAGATATGAGGCTCAGCAAAGTGGTTTAACGTGCACATTTCCAAGCAAGTAGATAACAGGGGCAGAAGATCAGCAATTCCAGAAAGGAAAAGGCAAACCTTTCAAAGTCATGACACAGACAAATATGCTGAATGTGAAACAGAAACGCTGTGAAAAGTGGACTTTGAATCACCCAGGTAATTTGTGAAATCTTTTAACTGGGACCGGTCATGATTCAGACGTCGATGTAATAGATTTTTACTCTACAACACTGACATTTATGTATTCATGAACACTAGACTACATTACCCTCATAAGTGCTTGATGTGTCCTGCAGTTGGCTCTTCTGCTCGATACTTGTATGCTTCCTGCGAGGACATCAGAAGTTCCATTAGAAGAGAAGTAAAACCTTGATGGAGACTCTGCCTTTCTGTTCACATCCAGACTCATGTTATAAAACAAAACTGCAAAGTGTGCAGAGAATTGCAATCAATATCAGTAAATCCACTAAATGCATTTATTAAGTTGATGACAGTAATGCAACACACCCGAAACACTCTAACTTCTGTTATATAACTTTTGAAAAATTATCTGAAGTATAAGAGAATTAAAGATGTAAAATTGAAAGTTATTATAAGGTTTATGAAATCTAGTTTCTGTTATTAAAAATGTTAACATAATTACTTGCTCAATCCTAAGTTTCAAAAACTATAATATGAAAATTTATACTAACAATAAAAGATTTTGAATAATGTTTCAGACTACTCTGGAGTCCTTTCTGTCCACAGTAAGGGAAGTATATAGGTAGAGTTTTGTGTTCAAATGTCACTTGGAGGAAACCCATTTTGTGTGGTTACATGACTAATTTCATGTATTGTTAAGGTTCATTTATGTATTTCTGCTTCTGATTTGAAAGCTTGCTCTCTCTTTTAAAACTTTTATTTTCTTTTCAGTCCTATTTCTTGATTATTTGTCCTCTCTAATTTTGTTTGCTTGTAATCTGACCTCTTAATTTGTATAAAAATTTTAAAATTTTGTCTCAATTTCTAAATCTGATTCAGTAAATATTCACCTGCTTAACAAGATCTTTAAGTAAAACCAAAAAGAAACAAAAAGTTAAAACAATGAAAAAGTTTCAAATACCAAGAAAGTAGGAGTCATTTCCTGAACTAAATGGGTTCTTTGCAAAGCAAGCTAAATCTAATAGTCTGCTGACTAATGCTCATTACATAGGAGCAATGATTCATAAGTCATATTTAAGAAATCTTATACAATTCCTGGAATATTTATGTTTTAGAAGTTACATTCTTCTGGAAGGATTTTGCCTATTTCAAGGAAAAGACTAAACCTATATTACTCTTACTCATTTCAAATAAATCTTTCAACTATCCTTTCATTCAGAAAATAGTAAAGTACAAATCAATTGGCTTCAAAATTATAACAACAGATTCAGTACCGGGGGGTGGGGTGGAAGAAAGGAGGGAGGAGGAGGGAGGAGGA